AAGAAGTCTGTGGTTTCCATCTCGTTCACTCGCTCCTGTGTACCCAACCCCCCGTCTCTTAATGTCTCAATTTCTCTGTCTCTCAATCTATCTCTGTCTCTGTTTCTCTTCCCTCCATCCCTCTCTGTCCACACATTTCTTTAATAGAAATGGCAGCCCAGAGCCTAAGGGAATGTAACTGCTGCCTTGGACAGCCAGCCAGTCAACCCAGCAGGTAGGCATCCTAGGCTAAGTTCAGGATGCCTGGGATTGACAAATGGTTGGCCTGGCAGCTAGGCTCTCAAGGCCAAGTTCAGAACACAGGATGGACAGCTAGTTGACCAGCAGCTTGTCATGTGAGGCAAAATTTGGGATGCACAAGACCCCTTATATGAAGAGCTAGTCAGCTTGACAGCACAGCACCCAATGTCAAGCCCGGGATACCCAGGATGCCCAGGACAGACAGGTGGCTGGCCCGGCAGCCTGGTGCCTGAGGGAAAGTTCAGGACACATGGGATGGCAGGAATGAACAGCTTTTCCCAACAGCCTTGCACTGAGGCCAAAACTGGGACATGTGGGACAGACAGCTATTTGACCCAGCAGCCTGGTGCCCAAAACCACATTTGGAATGCCCCAGACAGAGAGCTCTTTGATCCAGTAATCTGGGGCCAGAGACCAAGTCTGGGACGCCCTGAGCAGACAACTGGTTGCACTGGCAGCCCAGTGCTGAAGTAAATCTGAGTCAAGTAGGTAGAACTGCTGGTCCAATAATTGCTTCTGGGTCAGAAGCCTGATGCCCAAGGCAAATCTGGGTGCCTAGGATGGACAGCTAGTCAATTTGGCTGCCCAGTGCTTGAGGACACTTTGGAGATGCAAGGGATACTCAAGACAGATTGGTGGTTGACCCAGCAGCCTGACACTCAAGGCCAACACCAGGACATTCAGAATGCCCAGGATGCACAGTTAGTTAACCCAGCCATTGAGGGCCTGATGCACAAAACACCCAGGATTGACAGCTGTCACCAGGCAGTACAGGCCCTGAGGCCAAGTCCGAGATCCCTGAGACAAACAGCTGGTCAACCCAGCAGCCTGTCACCTGAGGCCAAGTGTGGAATGTCC